TGCTTCTCCCAGTGTGCAGCTTTCCAGCTATGTCTCCAATCAGCTCCTGAGGACAAGAGGAGGACTCCTGTCAGTGTCCCCAGAAGCTGATCTGCCCACCAGGCCCTCAGCTCTAGGACCTGGGGAGTAACCATGGGGTCCCTTTTGGGCAGGGCAGGTCTGGGCTCTAGGCTTGTATGGAGCCTCTTCCACAGGAGGGGTCTGGGAGACACTTGGCTGTGCACCTGGGGTTTCAGTGCCACAGGGCATGAACATCAGGCAGATCTGGCTCCAGAGGGACAGGAGCAAGAGGGTAGAGGACCCAAACCTTAAGTCTGCGTTCATTGGCAGTGTGGATGTCCTCATCACTTTGGGTCACCACAAAGACTCCTTTAGACCATTCCTCAGAGATCTACAAACATCAGCAGAAACACCAGTCAGGCACTGCTGTCTCTGAGCTGTCCCTGGGGCTGAGTGTCCCCAGCAAATCCCAGCTTCTGCCATCCCAATGGGAATGGAAGGGCTAAGTCTCATGTGAGCTCTGGCATCCCTGTCCCTTCAGGCAGGGCTGGCTGTTTGCTCTGTCCTGAGATTCTGCACTGGACTTGCTGGGGTTCATCTCCCTACCATGGTGATCCTGTAGTGTGGTGGCTCTAGGAGGATCTAAGCATGGCAAGGGGAAGTGAGCTGAAGTGTCAGGGGCTGCTTTAGCATTCTGCACAGAGATGCTCCCCTGCAGACCTTGTGTACTGGCCCCAATGTCCATGGTGGGTGAGTAACCACAAGGGATGTTTCTTAGAGCACTTGGCTGCAGCTTCTCTTCACCCCTGTGCAATGCTGTGCTTTGCCTCCTGATGGCTAGAGGAGCCAGGCCCAACAGGATCCCAGGTGCCAGCAGGAAGGAAGATTCCTAATTCATCCTGCAACTATTCCTGGTGCATGTTCAGCCTGAAGGGGATGGGGGGCAGGTGACACTGAGCACACCTCACCGAGGCACCAGGGTGTCTGTCGTGGGCACTGGCACAGGGCACAGCAGGGCCTCAGCTGTCTCTGGGGGCTTGGCAGCTGCTCCACAGCCTCCTGCTGGGCTTGGGGGCCTTCAGTGGGAGGCAAATTGAGCATCATTCCCCTGCTCAGTGTCTCCAAGAGCACCGATATCCCTGGGCCTGTCATGTCCATGATTTAGGACATTCCCTCTCACAAAGCACTGCAGCACATGCCTGGCCCTAAGGAACAGGATATGAGGACATTTAAAGATGCTTTTTAGAGCTGCAAGTCAAGGAGGCTGCTTCAGGTGCTGTCAGGTAAGAAGCCATTTGTTCCAGCACACATGACACTTTGTGAAGGAAATAAATACCTTTTCCAGACCATTCAGTATCTTCTCCAGCTCACTTTTAGGTATTATCCCAGACTTCTCCAAGGCTTTGGCATAAGCCATGCTCCCCTGGATATCAACTTCAGCCAGTCTCTGATCATAGGTAATGGAAGCATTGAGCATCTCCATGACTGGATCTGTGCTTCCACTGAACCTTCCTCCCCAGAGTTTATTCCCCTGAGAGAGAAGAAGAAGCCAATTAGAGGCCTAACAGCTTTATTTATGGTCCTATGCATGTAACATGCAAGGATCTATTTGTTCAATATCCAGGCCATGCTTTGCTTTTAGTGTGGTAGCCCTGGCCAGAAAGGCCCTGGAATTTCAGGACCTTTTGCAGGTAGCTGTAGAGGTGGAGAACTTGACCAGAAGCCTTTTGCTTTCTCAGACAGGACACCCCTGCAGCCCCATCTGTGGCAAACTTGCTCTGGGATGGACAGGAATTTTACTCAGGCAGAGACCTCACAACTTATCCAAGAGTTCAAAAGCAACTCTCCAGCTCTAACAGACACAAAAAAGAAATGGGGGAGCATTTCACGGAAGGGCCTAAATACCATTGCAGAGTGGATAATGAATAGTAATCTACTTGGTTTTTTGAAACACCCCTGTCAGTCTCTTCTGCTGTGCACTCTAACTACCATGGACAGCAAGAAGGTGGTGGGACAGCTGCAAACTTACCTGTGCCAGGGCCTTATCAGTCAGACAAAGCACTGTTGAGTAACCCTAGAAACTATTTCCCTAGTGACTGTCTCCACATCTCTGCTGATCCCTGCTGAAACAACGTGCTGAGAGGACAGCAGGGAGGAGCCTACAGAGGTAAGACATTTGGTATTTTTATATGGTTTTGATATTTATTGTTTGCTTGTTTGTTTTGGCATTTTTAAGGCAGCCTTGTCAGAAAGCTGTGGGAAGGCAGAGGAGGGAACCAGAACTGAAGTAGAAAAGTATTAGAGGTCCTCATCGTGCATCTGGTGCCTGCATGTGGCACAGGGGCTGCTGAATTAAAGGCCAGAGGCTGAGTGCTGGGATGAGGAACAGCTTGGTGCATCTTCAGTGCTGCAGGGTTCCACCAGAGGAAGGGGTAGGTCAGCAGAAACATTGCAACAGATACATTTGCAATCCAAGAAATCAAAACTGAAAGATTAGCCAGAGGGCTCTGGTGAGAGCAGTGGCTGGTGCAGCCTGGTAGCTGGTGGGCAGAGCTCTGGTAGCCGGTGGGCACTGCCCTGCAGCTGGTGGGCACTGTGGGCACTG